GGAAGTGGCATTTGGGGCACCCTTAAGAGCCATGATAAAATTGTGTAATTAAAGCAGCACTAGTAAGAGAATGACAGATAAACCGATGGAACAGGATAGAGCCAAGTGCTAAACACAGATAGGTGGGGACTTAGCGTGTGATACAACCCTTCAGAATGTGGAGGAAAGAAATGACTGCAAATAGGCTCTTGGAACGATTTGCTAACACAGAGGGGAGCTGCATGGAGACAGGAAGGGTGTGGTGTTCAGACTCGTCCGGTCTGCAAAGCTTTGTACCGGTTGGAAATGCGCTAAGACACCCCCTTCAAGAAGCCGCCAAACGAGCTGCACAAAATGGGGCGTGCAGGGCACTGTTCTGTTTGGGTTGCACACACGTTTTGCACTCAATGCAAAAATAACCGGACGCCCTTTGAAATAACTGCCCAGTGGCCGCACCACCCGCTGCTACCGGCCTGCTCTCCCTTCTTCCCTGCTTTGGCTCCCCGTCCCTGTCCGTGTCCTGTCTGCGCTTGCCTGGCTCTGCGGCCGTGACGCGCACATCTCTGCGGGCACTCCCAGGTGTGCCAAGGCTCAGCCACGGCTCATGGTGGAGTCTCTCCACATCACTGCAACGACTAAAAAGGAAAATGACAAGGCAAGGCTCTTTCCCTCTCCACACACCTCCACAGCAATTTCCCAGTGAGTGCAGCTTCCAGCCCTCCTTTCCTCCCTTCCCACCACCTAACGCAGACTTCCCGCAGTACGGTGGCCAGGAAGCTCCTGCTAAGCGATGCCGGAGGGTTAGGAGGAAAGCCAGTGCCTGGGTAATCAAAAAAGCTGTTCTCTGAGTTGCACTAAACTGACGCTGTCTATCAAATAGGGTGTCCTCTCCCACCTGTCTATTATTTGTATTTAAACTGATTAAATTAAACGCCATGAAAATCTCAGTTCTCAGCCATGCCAGCCCCGTTTCGGCAGACACGTGTGGCAAATGGCTACCCTGTTAGGGAGCAAAGACCTAGAACACTTTTAACGTTGCAGAAGGTGCTGGCGGCCGGCGCTACTGCCTGCGTGTGTGGGAGGAAAAGAGGCAACTACAGGGAGGGAGGGCGGTGTCAGGTGCGGCCGGACTGCGGGCCTCTGGGTCAGCTTGCCTGGGCTGCACGGAGTGAGGAGGAATTGCCATCGCTTGCGCAGAGACTATATTATGTGGCTAAGGTGCATGAGGTTGGGCCGGGAATATAGCTCAGTGGCACAAACGCCTACCTAGCCAGTGCAAGGTCCTGAGTTCGATTCCTGGTACCAAAAGCAAAAAAAAGGTATATGAGGTTCTACAACATCTTTTTTTTCCCATTTTCTATTATAACAGGGGTGTGACTGCTCCGTGGACTGCAGGTTGGACACACCCGGATGGTTCCCATCAGCTGACCTCTATTTCCTGTGAAATAGGAGGCCGAGTCGCCTGTGGAGAGCCACAGGGCAGACACAGGGATAGGAGGGAGGAGGCGCGTGAGGAAGAGCATAATAGTTGCTATGGTGATAGGAAAAGATTGCCAGTGGGGAAAGCAGGGATTCGGGGTGATGCTGAGGAGTAGCTGCTGCTACAGGCTGTTTCACAGAGATCGCACTGGGGCCTGGGGCCTTCCCACCTTCTACCCGGCCACCCACCGGGACTTGCCAGGTGGTTTGACCGGTTTAGGATTCGGAATCACTGGTGTCGCTTATGTGTGTCATGGTTTCCTATATTTGTTCCTGAAACAGAAGGAGCAACACCTTCTCTTTCTACAGAATGCCCTATTTTGTTCTGATTTCAAGCCCTAGATCTCCAGTTCAGGAGGAGCCTGCTAATCTCCTTCTACCTGTGGGAGCCGGGGACAGCAAAGCACACGACAGCGAATGAAAGCCGCTGAGACGTGAGGGGGAGCTGGTCAGGAGAAGTCTGAAGAAAGACATCACTCCCACAAGAGGGACCTGAGGAGAGACGGCGCTTCCAATGTCACACGCTCTGGATGGCAGAGCAGGACGATGGGCGAGTGGTGGTTTGAGTTGACTGACTCTGGGGCACACCCTCCCTCGGGGCTTGGTCTTGATGCTGCCATTTTGGCTTGGCTTTTCCTTGCTTGCAGCGAAAGCATTCTGGGCTGACCAGACCGTGTATAGCCTGCCCAGGGGGCTGGGATGCGTCTAAGTCCAGCAAGTGACGGGCAACCCTCTCTGCCATTTTCTCCTTGGTGCCCATACATGGGCCTGGAATGCGCTGTTTGTAGGCGGCCCGGGTATCTGGTTCCTTGTAGAACCCCAAGCCTCAATTCTCTTCCTTTCTCAGCCCCCCGAAGAGTTCCCCCACTTTCTCCTTTGTTACAACGCAAGAGCCACACTCACACGCAGACGGCAGACAGCTGAGCGACCTCTAGCCTTCCAGAAAGCACAAGCCGGGGGCGACATACACACAACAGGAAACGTTAGCATTTTACTTGTTTCCAAGCATACAGATGAATAACGTTAGGTCCATTCGCACGGCGCCGCCATTCCCACCCCACCTTAGTCTATTTTCTGTTGCATTAGCAAAGTACCCGGAACCAAGTAATTATAAAGAATAGAGGTTTGTTCGGTTCACAGTGCTGGAGCCTGGGAGGTTTGCGCCTGACAGCACCTCCTTTTAGAACCCTAGAGCTGAAAACCGCCCTGAGGAGAGGAAGCACCTCTCTGCGTTAGTGAGTCACACCTCTGTTGGGAGAGCACAGATAAAAACCATTCATTTAGGCTGGGCATGGTGGCTCCTGCCTGCAGTTCTAGCGCTTGGGAGGCTGAGGCAGGAGGATCACTGTGAGTTCCAAGCCAGCCTGAATTGCACAGTGAAACTTTATCTCAAAAAAGAAAAAAAAAAAAAAAGCCGTTCGTTTAATTCCAGCAGGGTTTTCTGCTGGGGGGTGGGGGTGTATGCTGAATAGGTGGGAATTTAGGGCCTGAAATGAGAAGGCAGAAGGCAGCGGAGAGCGGGGAGAGGCAGGATGTAAAGACCCCCAACTGCGAGCTCCCTTAGGTCTCGTGTCTTCCCTGAGGCTTCCTCCTGCACAGCTCTGTCCCCGAGCCCACGGGACAAGCCCTCCCTGTGTGACGTTTGATTCCTTGCAATCAAACAGGCTCAAGGAAGGCGGCCTCATTCTGTGACCCCCAGCTCCCAGCGCCTGCGTGGCTCACGTGGGCAGCCTGACTCGCGGCCGCGCGCGGCGCTCCGCAGAGCAGCTCCGGAGCCCCAGGCCCGGGCGAAGCCGATGGAAAGGGAAGGAACCGGGCTCGGGTCACCGGGCTGGGCGCGGAGTCGGGGTCGTGAAAAAGCGGCACAGGCACCGCGGGAAGGGACGCCGAGCCCGGAGCTGGGGAGGAGGAGGGGTGGCGAGCGCCACCCGGCCCTGCCCCCTGTCGCATCTCCTGTCCCTCGGCTCCCGCGCTCCCTTGCATCCCACCCCATCCCCGCTCCGCCCGCCCGGAACCGCCTCCCACGGAGCATCTGCCCGCCTGGCTCGCTCCTGCCTTCCTCACAGCGCCACCTCCCGCCCGGCTTCTCCGACGAGAGCGAGATGGATCGTACCTCCTTCCCCAAAGCACACCCCTTCAGCCTTGCGTCCCCGGGACTGCCATACGCGAAGGTCCCTGGTTGCCAGACTTTCTTTCTTTTTTTTGAGACAAGGTCTCACTGTGTAGTTCAGGCTGCCTTTAAACTATGTAGCCCAGGCTAGCCTTGAACTCCTGGTGATCCTCCTGCCTCAGCCTCCCAAATGCTAGGCTTACAGGTGTGCTCCACCACACCCAAAGGATTGCCAGACTTTCATGAAGGGGGTTGTGAGATTGCTATGATAAACCCCATGTTGATACATTACAGTCCAAGGAAATGCAGCTTCTATTAATGACATGACGGGGGTGAGGACGTTAATGTGACGGTGTTGGTGGCGGGGTATAAGGAGGCCTCAGGTCTCAGAAGGCAAGGGCTTTGGCTACTCCCGGCCCAGGTTCAACAACACAATATTCAAGCATTTCCCTGCAACAAAGATGAACAGATTTTTCTGCCATGCCCATGTTCCCCTTCTAGCACAGCCTGAAATAAACCGATCTTTGTATCCTTGCCATGGCCCACTTGCTGGACCGAGGTGGACCACTGCTCACAGGAACAAGGCCTGCTGGTGTCCAGTTGGGACTTATACCCGCTAAGAAGCTGGGCATGGTGGTGCACGCCTGTAAGCCAGCACTTGGGAGGCTGACGCAGGAGAATTGCCATGAGTTTGAGGCCAGTCTAGGCTACAGAGTGAGAACCAGTTTCAAAGAACCAAACAAATAAAGAAACAAAAAACAAAACCCACTCCCCCAGATACCCATTAAGAGACAAAGATCCCAAGGGATCACCTAAAAAGGGAAGCAGAGGAGTGAAGGTTCTCCAACTCCTATTGATGTGGTCGATGATTCTTTTTTCTTTCT